AAATTATTTCTGATTTCATTTTTTCCAGATCCCCTTTTGTTGCCAGTTCAGTGGGTCCAGGTGGTTGAGTATCAGAGTGTTCCTTCTCATTTCCCTTTATGGTTGCTGTAGGTGATCTGGAAGTCTGGTTTTGAGACTTATTTACATGTTTTCTCATTTCAACTGGAGGGGTGCCTTTTGGCACCTGCACAGATTACCTCTTCTGAGCTGGGAGAGGTGGGATGGGGGCCGGGAGCAGCAGTAGGGATGGTGGACCAAAAGCCCTTTCCTGTGGGCTGGGAGCAGCGGGAGGGATGGTGGCCGGGAAGCCCCTTCCTCTGGACCAGGAGCAATGGTACGGCTGCTCAGAAACCCCTACCTCTGTGCTGGGAGCAGCAGGACTCAGTACTGTGGTCTGGTGGTTTGGTGTCCTCTGCGTCTTTGTAGTGTGGAATCAGGTGACTGTACAGAGGAGCGGGTTGGGGGGGGTCCAGCGGATTTTTTCCACAGCTCGGGCTGATTCGACGTGTTCCGCGTGACTCGCGACCTTGGTAGTGCGTGGGCAGACCTGCCTGTCTGCAGTGGGCTGATTTGGCATGTTCCCTGTGACTCAGGACCTTGCTAGGGCGTGCACAGACCTGCCTGTCTGCAGCGGGCTGATTTGCCGTGTTCCGTCTGACTTGTGACCTCGGTAGTGCGTGGGCAGACCTGCCTGTCTGCAGCAAGGTGATTTGGTGTCTTCCATGCGACTCGGGACCTCAGTAGGTTGTGGGCTGCCTGGTTTATTTTTTATAACATAATGCCCTCTGGTTTCTTTTATGTTGTTACAAATCACAGGACTTCCTATTTTGTTACGATTGTGTAGTATTCTATTCTTCATGTATGTATATATATATATGTGCTACATTTTCTCCATCCATTCATCCACTGATGGAAATGTGGCTTGGTTCTGTGCCTTGGCTATTGTGAATAATGCTGCGTTGAACATGAGAATGAAGTTATCTCTTTGACCAGTTGATTTTATTTTTTGGGGATATATATCCAGTAGTGAAATTGCTGTATCATATGGTAGTTCTAGTTTTAATGATTTGAGGAACTTCCGTACTCTTATCCATGATGACTGTATACTACTTGATATTCCACCAATTATGTACAAGGTTTTCATTTTCTTCATATTTGCTCCAATATCTTCATATGCTTCATATCTTTCATCTTTTTGATAGTAGCCATTCTAATAGATATGATGTGATACCTCATTGTGGTTTTTAATTTGCATTTCTGTTAGTAATTTTTAGCCTTTTTTTGTACATGTACCTGTTGATTATTTGTATGTCTTGAGAAATGTATATTCAGGTCTTTTGTCCATTTTTTCCAGTTGTTTGTTTTCTTATTTTGAAGTAATTTGAGTTTCTTATATGTATTTTTATGCTTACCTCAACAGCTACTCTTGTCCCATCCTAAGAAAGCCTAATACAAGACTTGACAAAGGTACTCTGCCATGAAAAGAAGGGCCTTCCAAATAAAACTCAACAATCTTTGCAGGAAGAGGAAGAAAAAAAGCCCACACTCTTTAACTATGTCGCATCCAGAATTTTACAGCAAAACCCCTAAAATTTGACATGTAGAGAGAAAGAAAAAATGTGATTTATACCAATATTAAAAATAGGCAATGAAAATGGACCCACTCATGACACAGTTGTTGAAATTTTACTGATACAAAATGTAAGAAACCTAATATAATGTAGTCAGTAGTTTGAAAGGTAAGATGGACATAATGCATGATAGGTTGAAAATATTTCCAGTTGTCTGAAAATTATTATACCATATATTCATAAAGTTTTAAAAATTTTTATCAGAATAAACACAAAGAAAGCCATTTAAAGGTATATTGTGCTCAAATTACTAAATAAACAGTGACAAAAAATATCAGCCAAAGATGAAAAGGCATGTGTTATTGCTAACTTCTTATCAGAAACACTACAAATAAGGCAGGAGAATGACATCTATAAAGTGCTTAAAAGTGCTTATGAAAAAAGAGACCTGTTGACCTAAAATTCCTTATTATTTTTTTAATTTTTAGAAATTTGAATTTTAAGTCTTTGCAGTGTATAATGATAAATATCCTTTAAAAATAATAGTAAGATAAAGACATTTTCAAATGGC